TTCTCACTTAACTCTCAAAATTGGCACCATTTAAGGTGTTGTCCAAATAGGGGAGCAAATATATTATACTCGGTTTTTCCAACAGCTAATTCACGACCTTGAGACGCAAGATCGTTGTTAATCTTGCTCCGGATTCAGACTGGTCAAGACATTCCTATATTCCGTTTAAAATTATTTAAATAAAAACAAACTTTTATATATTGTTTAAATTTCTATAAATTCTGAGCTTAAGGTGTAAATGCACATTAAACACTACATACGAGCACAGAGTTTGGTGAAGAACGACGGTTTTAGCTAATGTTACCTGGCTTTATCAACTGTAAACAGCATACCAACATTACCTTACTCACATATGATCCCATTGTGTCAAATAGCTACATGCACGTCGCTTTATAAATTCCAATTTATTCGCAATTAGATTCCCCGGCAGCTTCATATGAATCATATTTTATTTGCTAAGAATATATTAGGACGTTTACAAAAGTCATGGAAGATAATTGCAACATATTGCATGTACTCTAACTGCGCAAACGAAGCTAGCATTTCATCGTTTATAAGCATCATTCGCACAGGGTACAGTGTCGTTTCGACCTGTTCTTCCTTCTAAAGCCAGCAGTAATCATTCGTTGTTCAGAGATTCATGGTCACGATGAGAAGTGGAAAGCTTTGCCACACCTTCTTCGGAGTTTTCAACAGACGATGGCATAAAACCGCGCAAATGACATACAGCAGTTTCTCAGTCCACCGAACAGGGAAAAACAACGATTGTGCAAAACAACCTATTCTGTACGGTACATGTATGCATTTTATTGCTTTAATACACAGAACATGGCCATATATATCAGCACAACAACAAAAAAATAAAACGTATAACTACACTTTCAACGGTAGACAGATTAAAAAGGGACAACAGGTCCTCCCCAAGGCACACGAAAGTAGGAATAACTGAATTTCGTCTCAGTTCAATCCAACATTACACGCTCACCATACTTAATCAGGCACCGGTACGTAGGGAAATGCAAAACAATAATTCCAACCATGAAATCGATAGTCGTTGTTTGAGGGAATACAAGTGCCGAAGAAGAGGCAAGTTTTTACAGTGCGTTGTACAAGTCCAGGAACTTCAAAATCGAGGCGATCATTAAGTACCATAAACTAAAGGCTTTGGCCAGAATGCGAAGATAGGTATTGAAAAGTCCAGGAAACAAAGTACGGAAGGCACAGGTAAAAATGTGGATGAGGAGTGAATTTTGGAGCCCTCGTTTGCCTCAGACTAACAAGACATTACACGTTCTTCCGCATTTCATCAGTAATCAGCTTCACATGTCCAGACCAAAACAAATCTTGGGGCACAATGACCCGAAGATATTTCACAGAGTTTATTCGTTCAATTCCAGCATCATTAATTTTGCAAATAAAGTCACGTGCAGACAAATTCTGTGCTCTTATTTAAATGGCACTTCTCTTGCCACCTTCCAGGATTGAGATGCAAACATCATATGGGACGACGCTGGACAGGTTGTTTCGGTGGGAGAAAGGTGAAGAGACGCTATTTATAGCTGCGTGATGGTAGGGTGACCCTGAACATCTGGAAAAAATCATGATGCTGAGGCTCAGAGCATCGGCGTGGAAGAAGATGAAGAAGAGAGAAAATAATTCGGCGCCTTACAGTACGCCAGAGAGGTCGTTTCGAGGACTGCACCAATGAGATCCAGTGGTCACAATCTGTTTTCCGTCGGTAAAATAGTTACCAAGCCAGTAAAGTATGCCTCCAGTTCAGAAAGCTCCAAAACAGCGAAAGTTTTACTTAAAGTACAGAGTAAGATTGAGTGAGAACGTTAATGGACAGATGAAGTACATCTGACTGATACACCACAAAAAATCACTCGAAAACTGTCCTTGCTTACTCTGACACTTTATCCCACCACCTGAATAGTAAATAGTTGTGACAGCTTCAACAAACATGTTGATGAAGACGTCAAGAATGTTAAGCACCACGAAAACAAACAATCATTCGGGGATAAATAACTTAATAGCAGCAGGTAGTGTGCAAACACTACAAAAACTGCAGCAAGTAGTTTTAAAGCTGTTATATAGGAAGGTCCAAAATAAGCTGTACAGACAGATGCTCCTTCTGCGCTTGGTAACAAAGAGCCCTCTGAGATTTAATATGAAAAACTTTTTAAAATATACTTACAGCCTAAAAATGAATTTAAAGGTTCTAAGTTTTCGGCTCGCAATTAGAAGAAACTCTGATCGAAAGCGATCCTACTAATAAATCAAGTTATATCTAACATATTAAACAATTCTATAAGAATGGACTTCATGCAATGTTCCGCTACACTATTTTATTAGAAAATTTGTCGACATTTTGAGGTTCAGTTTTCAACTTCGAAGCAGCACAAAATCGGCTGAAAGCTTTTATTACACAAGATGCAATGTGGCATTATTAATCAATATTTATTGCTATCTTCGTTTCATTATGGCCGCCATTCTCGAACTGAAAATTTTCCTCCATGAAGGGAAAGATCTCTGCCCGGTGAAAATGAAATGACAGAAGCAAACACCACTAAACGCTATGCAACATGATATGCCGCATCTCCAGACGTAGTCGCTATTTCACGCGGGAAAACGATCATTAAAAATGCCATCGATGCGTTACGACTTCAGAAAGGTAGGCTAATAGGTCTTCTTTCTAAATTTGGCAACATTTACTGAAACACCGTAATCTTGATGGATTTACCGCACAGATCTTTACCATTACTCGTTGAAGATGCATTTGCGTTTGATTC